AGGATCATCACCGTGTGGAAGCCGCGTCCTGATTCTTCCTGTACATAACTTAACGTGTTGTTTTCCATGTTGGTGTATCGGCCTGAAAATGAATGACTGAAAACAATTATTTGTCAATACGACTTTTTAATATGGGACCGGTGATATTTTGGGTTTTATGGGTGGAGCTATACGATGGAAAGAAGTACGCGACAAAATGTTAATGGTGAAAAGGATTTTGCTATCGAAGAATAATTTTCAGTAAATATTTGAAATTGAAGACAACCCGGAACTTTTAAAATATGGCTAAGCAACGCCAAAATAGGGCGGGTGAAGGACTACATTGCCAAAATACCAACGACTGGACAACCTACTGACTAAGGAAATGTGCGTTCCATAAATATAGTTGACGCGCGATGCCATCTAAAGTGGTTCCGTAGAAGCAATCAACGCGGTAGCGTTAATTCCGAGTTAGGAATTGTGGGAATGCAGGAGAAAGGGAGAGGCTCAATTGGCAGCAAACTAAAACTGAGCGACAGAAATTACCCGAATTGAAGTTAAATACTCCTACTTTTAAAATATAAGTAGGTAGCTATAAGTATTTTCCGGTATCGGATATAGTAACTAGCGACCGCCGGCGAGCCGACCTCAATGATCACTTTCGGACAGCCTGAAGATGGAAGTTCGTGCCCAGTTGCCGGGATATTGAAGAGACAAGTAAATGACTGAGACAGCCGCGAACATTAACAGTACAAATGAGCTCAGAACGAAATTGATGGAAGAATTTTCCAACAACAGTCAGACGAATAAGTTGCCATATGCTACTCAGGTGATATGAGCCGGTAGAATACTGGTGGACTTAAACATTAAGAAATCAACAGTTGATTCTGAATGGCTTATATGCCCCTCGCAGGACGCTAGCACAGGAACATTCCTACGTAATATAGACGGCCTTGCGCTAAATTCCGGGAAAGGTAGATATCTCCATTTTTCAATCTAACACGAACACAAAGCATATCTTTTATTTTAGTGATTTATCATAATGACAGCGCAGGTACTGGGTAAAAGCTCGGACACATATCTGTCCAGATTCTGCTGTTGTATGACACAGCTGCGAGGGATCCGACTCATCAGTGGGTCCGCAAGCGTTCCACTTGTACTTCTTGATATTTACGCCAAACTTTAAATCCATGTGGCCAACGTACCGCGCTCGGTGAACCCGCCGCCTCCGTCCGCATCATCCACCTTTCGGACGCGCAGCAGTTCTGCTTCCCCGTTGCTGGATGCTCTTACAAACTGCCAATCACGAGCTATCATCAATACCGCCGGTACTGACTGTTCTGCCTCCGCCGTGCTAAACGGTAATTGTCCCTCAGACATCAGCTACGTCTTCCGAGCAGCCTGTGTTACCGTGGTCGGCGAGGGCTCCATGCTGAACATGTCGCCAGCATTCGAAAACCATGAGACGCAAGCTGGCACCGCATCCAGTCTCCTTGGTGGCACCATGCTGGCCATGGAACTGACCAAAGTCGAAGAGATTGAACGCCTTACCGGTGGGACGGAACGACTGACTGGCAGTCCGGCACTTGGCAACTTCGTGATGGGTATGTGTGTGTTTTCGAAGTCGAATAGCCTATTCTACGTGCGAGATGTTTTTCATTCCTCTGTCTACTGCTCCGACCCCTACAACTGGTGCCACAAATTGCATGACTTTGCCATCTCTCTAACAGGTTTTCGATCACTCGGGAAAGCAGTCACCTTGAGATTGAATCGGCAGCAAAAAGCAGAATTGATGTTCCTTAGTACGCATCCTTTGAAACCCCTAGATTTTGATCCATTTGTCGCTGCACTTTATCGCCTATGCTAAACGGAAGATTCATATTTGTCTAGTAAGACCTATTGACATTATAGTTGTCAGTCAAAAATATGTCATGTACCTATTAATATCCGTCTAATTTTGCTTTGGTTAGTGCTGAAAAATTAACGTATATGATATTCGCCCCCTAAACGTGGTAGATGAAATGTACAAACACGGACGGCAACTCAGGACACGACAGGCGTTATTCGAGTTGCGCTCCCATAACAAATTCCGAACATTGGAGTGCCATTCAGATGCACAAAAAACTTCAGCCACAGCCTGTCTAAGATCTCAGGGTCAGCGCAACATCACTATTGTCCGTGGATGAGTAGTTGCAAATGGACCGATCAGTATTCAAAACTTTCATTCGAAAGAGGGTAGAGGGAAGATAGCTTCAACATCAACGTACCACCTGCAAACTTGACTGATGCTCAGTTCCAGGAGGGCTATATGACAAATGTTATTGGTGTATTTTGCGGTTCTGCCCTATAATCATCAGAATGAACTTTTTCGTCGTCTACTAAATTGGTCAGCTTCATACCTTGGCAAATATGTCAAAAACGGGTCAGCTTTTCCACTGCACACGAGTCATCTCCATGTTAAAAAATCCCCGTAAAACCTGCAATCAAGTCAGACCGATGAATAGCAATATCACGTGACTGAAGGGTGACGGTTACAGCCGACAGACCACGGGTTGCTAAACCAACTGACGTTATCTTCAAATGAAGTCGAGTTCGCCGCCCAGATATGCTCGATGTGGTGGTGCAGAGTAAATTCAGTCTCCCATATGTTTGTCCATGACAGTTCGACCGTCGATTCCGACGAGGTCCGCCCTGTGCTCTAGAGCAAGGAGCGAGCAAGGACGGTGACTTGCACGTGAATTAGTTTATATTGATAGGAGACTGGTGTTTCATCTACCGTGTCCCCTCTTCCCTAACTCACCTGGATCCGGTATCAG